ACTACTACTGCTGCCACCACCACCACCACCACCACCACCACCACCACCACCACCACGACCGCCACTACTACTGCCACTAGTGCCACCCACGATGCCTCTTCTGCTACCTCTACTATTCTAACTCCTGCTACTCCGACTTCCGCCCCTTCTCAAACTCCTCCTGGTGATCTTACCATTCCCTTTGCCGCGACTGCGTCGTCGCAACACCATTTGCAATGCTCAGTAGTCCTGACGAGCCTTAGCCAGAAAAATAGAGATACCGCTGAGGGCCAAGATCATCCTCAGAACAATAAACATAACAATCAATAACAATGACAAGAACACGAATAACAAACAACATCGGCACCAGAAATATACCACAGACTCTGATGATGCCGATTGTTAGAAGCAGTAGAACAGGTCAACAGCCAGCTCAGCCTCTGTGTTTGAGGTCACGGATGGGCTTTTTCGCGCCCGAAGCCCGAAGCCCGGCGCTAGCCCACTAAAAATACTAATAGTGATGATAACAGCATCAATAGCAGTAGCCATATAAAAGTTCGCTTAACAAGATCAGCCATGACAGTAACCTTAACACAAAATAACAGTCAGAATAAACATAGAAATCATAATACTACAGACCCAGATGATCCTCACGAGAAGGTGGAATCGGAATCATCCATTCGAAGCTTCCGGCATCTTGGCATGTAGGCCTTAGGGTTCAGGCCGTTGGCCTTGCAGTGGGCCATTTCCTCTGAGGGTTTCGGGCCAAAATGTTCTGGGCTAAGGGGGTGAAATTGCAATGGGAGCTCGAGCTGTGCTTTGTGTACCCGGCCTGAACATGCCAAAGCCCTAAATGCTGAGATTTGTTGCTTAATTAGTCATGTCTAGTCCAGTCTAGTCCCAGCTTCGGAGCAGTACCAGCATATTTGTGAACATGATGATGGTGCTGAAGGTGTGAGTTGGAACCAAGGTGGATGCGCAAGCAGAGCTCGTCCGCGCAGTGAAGCGCTTCGAGCAGGGCTTCATAAGCTGCTCGGCCGAGTGCAGGGTCCGTTTTTCGGTGCAGCGATGCATCGGGCCCGTTGTGAATCTGGCGCCATCTCGGTCGGCTTCCTACTATGCCGTAATAGCAGTCTGGCATTGGTTAAGTGACATTACCCTCAACCCTAAACCCTGCACTTGAAGGGATTGCCTTGCCTTTCGAACCCAGAAGCTGTTGCTTGGAGCAAGAACGGGCACACTCTAGGGGTCTGAATAATTCGTAACGATTAGCCCCTTGCAGTCCTTATACCGCTATTGTCATTGCCATTCTGCGACACGAACCCCAAAACCCTACCGATCGACTATTGCAAGGCCTTAACATTTCTCATTTCCTCCTGCTCGCGCCTTCCTGGGACGAAGCTTTGAGGCAAGCCTGCGTGCATCTCTCCGAGCATGACGCACGGGGAGCTGATGAAGCTTCAGGAAACATGTGCCTTGTCTTTTGATCTACCTAGACCCCCCAACTACCCTCTATTATCCCCCAAATACCCACTAGTAAGGACCATAAGGTCTCTATTAAAGGGCCATTGGGGGATCCTGGTAGGGTTGCGGGTTTAGGGTTTAGGGATGTCGGGCTCGTTGTTCGTCGACATCATCTGAAAGATGGGGTGAATATCATAACAGTCGAGACAATCCGCACATGGTAGACACCTGACAGCCGGAGCCTAGGTGGCTTTTCCGGCTTCCCCGTGACGGAGGACTCGGGGCAGGTCTCCACAGAGGGTTGCTTTGATGTGATCTAAACCCTAAACCCTATATATCGCCGGATACATATTCACCTTTGTGCGGAAACACTGCCAACTGGGTTCTCATGAGCTATAGTATAGCTATGTTACATTTCATGAAGGAGGCAGTCGTACCAAGAGCCTCCCGTCAGATGAACGAATGCAACCTGCTGAGCACGGGACATCGCATCAATTACCTCTTCATTCAGCGTAAATGCTCACCTGGTGCCATGGTAGAGGGATGCAAAATTAGGCCAAGCGAGTCAGCTTAAGCCATGATCCAAGAACCGCTTCTGTTCGTTTGTCTTCCGGTCATGTGACGAAAGAAGCTGCTTGTTCATCCAGGATTGGAATCCAAGGCTATTTGACATGTGGGTAGTTGTCAAAATT